GTGGCTCGTCCACTGCGATCCTTGAGCAGCTTGATCTCATTAATCGATTTTGCTGCATCTGCAAATAACTGTGGTGCACCAAAGAGCCAGAAGCAACGGCAGTGCTCATCCGAAGGCGTAATGACGGAATCGACGAGCTCTAGAGCGCTGGAAAGCCCCGTTCAGGCCGCACCGCATGCTGAAAGCTTGGAAAACATGCCATTCTGGCTCAAGAAAGAAGGGTAAGTCAGAGTAATGGGCCCGGAGAAATCGATCGTGCGGAGATAAGGCAAGAAATCGATTTTAACGTGCTTGGCTAATTTCTCGCCTGATCCCCTGGTCGCGCAAACACAGTTCACGGCCAATACTAAAACTTTAAAAATTTACCGAGAGGGGGAGGAGGTGATTTTGCCCCAAATTTCGATTCTCGGCCATTACCGGCCAAACCTGTATTTTCCAGGGCAGCTAAACATTATCGGGCCTCTGCACGCCTCAATATGCTGCGGAAAAATTGACTTTGGGTAAAATGATCACAGAATTTGAGCCGAAAGCAACCATTCCAAGTACCAAATCCAAAACCTCATTTTGGCGCCTAAACATCCCTGGGGCCTGAAAATTTTGGCATTTAAAGAAATGAAAATTTTCGAACCAAATCAGGCACAAATTTTTTTTTGCCCTCAACATCATTCTCACGTTCAGAGTCCAGCTCCTCCTTGTACCGCAGGGCTGGCTGCATACACATTCCTAAGCATCATGGTATTCCCCTCCACCACACAATGCGTCTATTAATTTCTCAACAATCTACACATCCGGTAACACCGTTTGTTTACTTGTTCCTGTTGTTTACTTGTTTGTTTGCTTGTCGAACGACTGCGTACACACTCTCAAGCACCCACCAATCTCGGTCAAACTCGTAAAACTGATGCTCTGCTGCTGCCCCCACATTTTTCCCCTCCAAAGAGTACTTTGCCAGGACCTCCTGCTCGTGTCTCGAATCCCACATCCAAAAAATGTGTTCATGCATTGCCAACACTTCCCTTCCCCCCCCCCCCCCCCCCCCCCCCCC